TAGCTTGTATAAACAAGGTCTTGTAGAGAGCAAGAAGCAAGACAACACTGGATACACATAATGCCTGTATTGTTTGGTCGGCCCCACTTCTGACAGTATTCCAGCTATTAGTAGTAGTAGTGGTATATTTCAGTAAATCAGGCCACAGGCCCATTTTACAATATATATTCAAGCATTCAAACATGTTGTGCCACAAGTGCATGTAGTAATATCACTACTAATCCGTACAAGGGTATCTGAGACCATATACATATGGTGGTAGAATTAGTAGTTTATATAATGGACAACTGCTTGCTCCTCATTTTAAGAGCAAAGAATTCCAGCTATTTCTGAGTCTCAAGTTGGATGGAAATACGAAGTGGTTTTGGTCGTGTCATTTACCACTTCTGTTAGTATTGATATGATGCATACAGACAAGAGGCGGAGTGGACCCTGGTTGTCAATAGAGACAACTTTGTGTTATTACAAAATGGAGGAATGCTAAAAGAATAACTTTAAGTAATGACGTGTTGTCCTGGCAACATAACTTCATTATCAACACTAACCTGTAACGAAAACCTTTAACACAGGGCCGTAGGTTGTCGATATGTTAAAACGTTCGGTCGTCGCTAGGTCAGTGAGACATGGTCGCACTCTAAAAAGTCACATTGCAATGGAGATCAGTGATCATGATCATTGATCATTGATTGTGCACACTCAAAACAGTGACACTATGGTCAGTGTGACTGTCCACAAACTAAAAAGTGACATTGCGATGAAGTTAGTGTGACTTTCCACACAAAACTGTGACCTTGCGATATAGGTCAGTGAATGTCTTATTAATTATATGTCTACATTCATGCACCACATTCATTAAGTTTAGCACGGAATCCAGATTTCTATCTGTATGTGTATCTGTTTGGAAACAACATTCTTAATTACATCTTAAAGTTAATAAACATGGAGTTGACACTCTGTGATATAACTGAAATATTTTCAAAGCGACGTTAAACAAACCTCACTCACTCACTCACTCACTCACTCACTCACCCACCCACCCACCCACCCACTCACTCACTCACTCACTCACTCACTCACTCTTGGTGTAAGCACATTCTATTATCAGATGCCTTGAGATAATTATACAAAAGGGAGCTTGTCAAGCATAGTCTTCTCCCGTATGAGTAATCCCTCATCTCACAGCTGGATGATTTGTGCGGTATCCTAGCTTCAGGTGTTTCCCGCCCTGTAATTTTCAGTGGCAGCTGAAGCGTTCCTCCTCTGCCTCCCTCTGTGCTATTGTTCCATGCTAATCCTCGCCTTGTAGGTGGTTCTATATGTCGGTTTTCAGAAATAATTTATACGGACAAAAAACACTCAACCTGCTTGATATGACTCACGTTAAATTTACATCTATACCTGGCTTTATATTTTGCATATTTATCCGTAAATAACCCCACTGAATACATATCCCAGGAATACACCACCACTGAATACATATCCCAGGAATACACCACCACTGAATACATATCCCAGGAATACACCTCCACTGAATACATATCCCAGGAATACACCCCCACTGAATACAATCCCAGGAATACACCCCCACTGAATACATATCCCAGGAATACACCCCCACTGAATACAATCCCGACTGAATACACCCCCAACTGAATACATTCCTCACTCAACACATCAGTAATAAATACGTGTTGACTAGTCTTTCCATGTATACATCAGTAGTAAGTACGCGTTGACTAGTTTTACCATGTATACATCAGTAGTAAATACGAGTTGACTAGTCTTACCATGTATACATCAGTAGTAAATACGAGTTGACTAGTCTTACCATGTATATATCATTGTAGTAAATACGTGTTGACTAGTCTTACCACGTATACATCAGTAGTAAATACGTGTTGACTTGTCTTACCATGAATATATCAGTAGTAAAAAGGTGTTGACTAGTCTTACCATGAATATATCAGTAGTAAAAAGGTGTTGACTAGTCTTACCACGTATACATCAGTAGTAAATACGTGCTGACTAGTCTTACCATGAATATATCAGTAGTAAAAAGGTGTTGACTAGTTTTACCATGAATATATCAGTAGTAAAAAGGTGTTGACTAGTCTTACCACGTATATATCAGTAGTAAATACGTGTTGACTAGTCTTACCATGTATACATCAGTAGTAAATACGTGTTGACTAGTCTTACCATGAATACATCAGTAGTAAATACGTGTTGACTAGTTTTACCACGTATACATCAGTAGTAAATACGTGTTGACTAGTCTTACCATGAATATATCAGTAGTACAAAGGTGTTGACTAGTCTTACCATGAATATATCAGTAGTAAAAAGGTGTTGACTAGTCTTACCACGTATACATCAGTAGTAAATACGTGTTGACTAGTCTTACCATAAATATATCAGTAGTAAAAAGGTGTTGACAAGTCTTATCAAGTACACATCAGTAGTAATTACGTGTTCTTTAGTCTTAGCCACTAACTTCAAACATCTTTTTCATATTTATTTTTATCTTAATATACAGAGGATTAAGTGTATTAGAACTGGTCTGTTACCACAACAGGTAAATCCCCCATGTTTTGGCAAGCCATCTCTACTCCACTGTGTGATAGCTGGGATATCTGACCAATAGTAGGATCAACCTGTCTACCACCGATGTATGTTAAACGTGACGGACTAGCTTGCCCAGACGTATTGGAGAATACTTGTTGATACACACCAGACATAAAGTATGACAGTCGACGAAGCTAGAAAGTAGTTTATTAAAGCAAAACTAATACAGTTTATACAATACAAATACATGTATGTTATTTGGTCATGAAAATGGACGGAAATCCTTTCACCGGTCTAATGAATGATCTGATGATTTCTGTCGACATGGACAAATAGTGTTAACACAATCAAATGAGTGAAATGGTTCATACACTCTTAAGAAGATAAATAGTACACGAGCTAGCTTGGATATCCGTCAGTCTGAATTAACAAACTTAAATCATTTAAGGGGCTCTCCCTCTCTCTCTCTCTCTCTCTCTCTCTCTCTCTCTCTCTCTCTCTCTCTCTCTCTCTCTCTCCCTCTCTCTCTCTCTCTCTCCCTCTCTCGCTCTCTCTTTCTGATAATTTAAATGTATGCACACCTATTTCGTTGCCGTAACTGATTTAATACCAGAAACTATGTTAGAGTTAGACCATTAAAGCATGACTACCATTGTCTGATTCCTTTAAACTTCAGTATACGCAAAATGCTTACATACCGCAACAACGTTTGAACATACATCGCGATTGTATGCCCTCATGCTGTTTTAGTACTTTGCATGAACCAGATTTAATTTTCTTAGCAAAACATTCTCATAACATCGTCTGTAAATTCATTCATTCATACATCCATTTTCATGAGAAACTGTTTATATTAATGTATATGTCATTTCAAACATTTATTCAAAGAAATGCACGATATAACCCATGTACTCTTAAAACAGGACGTACAAGGATGGGCACAGTTGTGCTTAAACGCTTGTGCTGGGACGTCAGTGAGAACGATTATGTGAATTAACCCTTCGTTTCGTTTGACAAAATGTAATAATTGTTCCGCAAGATGTTTGTCATAATGACCTAGTTTGTTGTCGTTTCCATGCAGACATGAACACGCGCCGTAACTGACTTTTCAGAGCACTTGTACTGTCAAAAAACATGTTGTTCATAAATATATATCATTTGTAAAGACCTTTAACTACATTTCATGAGGAAACTAGATAAATATGGAGAGTCAGTTATTACTGTTTATAGTGCAAGGTTTCACAAACAACATCTCTCATTTCCACTGATTTTACAATTTAACTCATCCCAATAGGTCATAGATCAGCGGTCTCTCCCCAAAGATATCTACTGTTGAGGGAATTACGTCGACTTTCACTGTTACCAGGAAAAAACACGAGAAGACATATCCGAACGACCTGGAAATACAAAAGGAGTTTAGTGTTTAAATTGTTGCTTTTACATTTTATTATTTTTGAATGTTTTTGAGTACTTTATTACTATTTATGCTGTCAAACAATTCGCATTTGAAACAATTCATTCTGATTTGAAACAGTGACCTTATAGTCCAATATGTACATCTGTTATTGTCCGGCCTTTTTAAATTCTATGTGGAAAAGGGTAACTTGGTATGGAAATAGTTTGCACACCCTCGACACATCCCAATCCTAATCCCCATCCTCCCTTTCACTCAGCAATTGTTCACTTTCTTTACAATGCAATAAAGAAACAGAAAAGTGACAGCGTAACATAGTGCCCTTCCCCTGTAAACTAATTGACAAAGAACCTGCAGTAAAATTTAAGAAGCAGGTCATGTCAAGTTCCATGTCAGATGACACAATTGAGCTATAGGGCTTGATTAGTGCGAACAGAGAGGGCTGTTGCATCAACTTGAAAGACACACCATTACCACTACAACACTGTTCAAGCCTGTATGTTGCCCTGGGAGACCATGTGGCCACACCCATTAAGATCCAAATAGTGTGCAACTTGGGAGTAATAACCATTACCGACCACGGACCACCCTATGAGCCCTAGACAAGGAACATGTCATACCTTTCGACACCGTCAGGTATCATATGTGAGAACATCACCATATTCAATTCAGGGATGTCCTGGGCCAAAATTATCTTAGGGACAATTTTTATTGTGGCCACGACCTTCACGCACGACGGGTGCTACAGTTACAAAGGGCTTGCTCAGGCATTTCGTGAACACCTGGTGCCATTATGGTTTATAATGATTCATAAGTGTATGATTTTATAATTGTTCCTTCCAAATTCATAAAACTATTTATTTTATATGACAGATATAGAAATATGACTAACATTAACGAATAGGCCTTTCTAGCCTTGGCCGTTGCCCTTAAGACGTATTTATATATGTAGAGAAATTTCTGCATGGTAAGTAAATAGCATATCGAAGCGTGATTTTGATCGTATTTTTGCGTATTGTTGTATCGTCTTTTTCATGCAAATAGCATCATTCTTGCACCTAAGATATTATTCCAAACGCTTGAATTAGGAGAAATAAAGAAAATCACTTGTTTGCGACGAGTAAGGACACCCAAGTTAAGCTTATCACATAAGATATACAACAAATTAGTCAGAACACAATACTGGTGATCCGTAAAGTATTAGGCGAACTATCTGTCCAATAGCTGTGTCCATGGTTCTGAACTGGCTGAGCGTGTAGGACTTCTTCACCCAGCGTGTATACAAATGAATAGCGTAATTATTTGTCCAGTTAAAGTGACCAGAGTAGACATCTTCAATTCTTCCCAAGTCAGGATTAATCAGAGTGTCATTTTCTATATGGATGAGAGAAGGGTTGTCCTGAGCCAGACGGAATGGAACAAACGTGGAATGAATTCCCCACTGTCTGGGATTGTAGGTTTTATAGCTACCGTGCCATACAGACAGAAACTGGGCGTTCGGAACAGAAACCATCACAGAGTTTCCAAGATTTTTGGCATTCTCATGGCCCATTACAAAATGGTAGTCCCGGAGATCATCGAAGCTTTTCAACACAAGCTGGTCGCAGTCTAAATAGATACCACCATATTCTGAAAAGAAATATAGATAAGTGTATATAATCGTCATATATGATATATGAAGGCATGTAAGCAGGTAAAGCAACTACAGGAGTGCATTGAGTAAGTGAGAATGGTTTTAAGCCGCTTTTAGCAATATTCCAGCAATATCACGGCGGGGTACACCAGGAATGGGCTTCACACATTGTACTCATGTCGGGAATCGAACCCGGGTCTTCGGCGTGACGAGCGACCGCTTTAACCACCAGGCTACCCGACCGCCCCAGGATTGCATTCGACGCAGACAGTTGTGTACAGACGTTCTTGTATTGAACTCTACACCTCTGGCTCTACTTATCGCAGGACCACCCATCCTATGCGTTATTATCTCAGTAGCTGTTGTGTGAAGATGCTTTTTTAAAGTGACTACATTGAGAAAACTAAAACCTAGATAAGGCCAGAACATACTTAAGAAGAGAGTGCTAGTTCTGCTCTACGAAGCACACGTCTTAAATACACTGTAAACCTTTTACACAATTAACTCATAAAGCTCACTTAGACGTCTATATAACACAAGGAGTGTAAAGAAGGGAACTTTATCTGGGCTTACCCTCGAGCCGATGACACTTTTAGATCGTATATCATCGCCCACAGCGTGGAGGAGTGAACACGCCTTTATTACTACAACGTCTAGGGCTCTTTGTAATTCATTTCATACTGGCCGCCAGTGATACCTGAGACGTGTGCTTGCTGTCAACATACTCATAAATAACCCTTTGACACAACTTCCTTAAATAATTACCACTATACCATGGCAACTGAGTTGTAAGTTCATCAATTGGCCTTCATTGTTTTCCTCTGCATTCTACTAGGTCTTTGGTTAATAGAGTCGCACAACTGACATCATCTTATATCTCTTTATAACATCCCCTTTTTAATGGGCTCGATTAGGCAAAATATATGTGAGATCAGGTCCACGTTGGAGCACAGTGGTGCTCCTTTCATTCTTGACAGTGGTGGGGTTTAGAAAATGTTGTATATCACCTCGATGTCACATTTATGAGATGGTTTAGTCACGGTAAGTTACGTGTAATGTTAACATCTCATAATAATATTGTAAATCACATAAATTATCATACTTTGGAAATGAAGTGGGATTAGATTTACATTAAAAAAGATATACCTTCTCATTCTACTGCGGGTCCTGGTTAGACTGATAAGATACTCAGCTTTAATAACTGTTGATATTATTTAATCACCCACGTATTTGACATTATACATTTATTTAACAAACATATCACTGAGTTAAGTTAAAAACTAACCTCAGCCTTTGTTGTTATAAATAGGGCGTTTGGGGGAAATAAAGATGTCAGCAGGATTGCGGCTTATAAGTAAGTTCAGCTCAAGACAATATACTGAACGACTTATAGTTAAAGTGGATAGAATTATACTTTCCTCGTGTTCTCGTGCATGCCTGGTTCAACAGAATATGTTGATGCATACTCATGATAAGTAACCGACTTGGAATCTGATGTCTTATCAAGTTTCATTCAGGCGATAAATTAAATCGTTGTCACTTCAAGAGAAAATCTAGACCAGTGTGAGTGCATTAATGCTGAGGGTGAAGGGAGGTCAGGTAATAAAATATACTACGTCTGTATAAGTGTGTTATATTTTGTTCAAACCTTAACACAGTGTTTCAGATCTACGTAGGAGTTTCACTAAGGGAATTTTGGTTATTATTAAAAATGTTAGCGATAGATCAATATGAGTATGAAGCACGACTTGATGGGGGGTGGTATTTTGAACGGGGGCTTCATAGCACCTTACAATAATCCATGTACGTTGAACGGGAGTGGTCGTTAGGCGTATGGTCTGAATTGAGCAGTGGGTTGTAATTGGATCTTTTGAAAACGCTCCTAGGCTACAGACATCGCATATACATAAATATACATTTATTATTTTAGTCTGTGTATGAAAAGCATATATTCAAATTTCCCCTCTCTCTCTCTTCTCCCTCTTACCCTACTAGAAAATGTGTAACCTGGCGGGTCGCTGGCGTATCGCCTGCTTTTACCACTGGACCCCTACAGGTGTGTCCTTATACCCAAGTGTAAGCTGTGTCACAACATGCTCAAACATTGGTTCCGGGATGAATCGTACATTTAATACATAAGGTTGCAATCGTTGATGCAAAGTTACCTTATTGGATGGTAAAATCCCATTTGCATGTGGTTTAAATATTTTGGTTAATTTTTTTAATCTTTTTTGATCTATCATAACGATATAAATAGTTCTTTTGCAATGCGTCTCAAAACAAGCACGACACGAAATAATTATGATACAGCGAATATATATAGGAAACCGTTCACTGTAAAACAACATTTTTGCAGATTACTCTCAACGATAAAAATATAAATGTTCGTCAACAATGTTTTGGTTTAGGATAATAATCAAGGCATTATTTTCCAGGTTTAACTACACTTGTTAAGCAGACATATCATTATATTTGTTATGATTATCATAACCTAGAAACGTTTAATTGCCCCACTGAAATGGGACTTATAATTTATGAATACCTTTCCACGATGGATCTTAATGTTAACATTAACACGTGAACTGCCAAAACATAAAAAAAGAACAAATAGTGAATTTAATATTGGTCGTCATTCACAAATAATTTGGACATATTTTCCAACTAGGTTAGTACTTTTATATTACCTGTAACATCAGCATTACGTATGTTGTTTTTGAGATTGCTCTGTCAGCAGGTACACCTATAAAAACTGTTACCAATGCCCTTTAGAGTCTTCAGCCACCTTGATTTCCGATAAATAGCTATCAGGTAAATTAACAGAAACCGTTCTATATGTCATTACATTATACATTATATTGCCAAGGATATTGTCTCCGGGTCTTATGAATGGCAGGAGTGCATCCAGTTGCATGAGATATGACCACTGACACCCATAGACAAGTTTTTGGTTCTATGACATGTGCTCGATGATGAAGATAGTTTGTTCAATTTCAAAAAGACACCATGGCTTTGGTACATATTTTACTAACAAGCCCTTAAAAAGGATATTTTTGTCAACTTGAAAACAAAGCCAAATGCCGACTAACACTATGTGTGTGTTGTTGTTGTTGTTGTTATTTTTGGTTCATGAAGCACCTATGGGATTCAATATGTAGATTTTTGTTTATAATGCAGAAAATTATTTTAAAAATGTGTTTTCTTGCATACACATATGCGTTTGAAATCTCACGGACTTTTCCAATAATATAATAAAGACTTACAATAACATGAGGTCATGAAGAAGTCTTGTTTCGTAATGAGCAACAGCTAAGCACTAAAATATGTCATTTACCTGTAAGTGCTTCAATCCTCGCAATGTCCGATTTGTGCTGAATATATCCAAGCCTTCTCCCGAAAATGCGTTCAGGTGCTTGTCTCCGAACGAACACAATGTTTTTCACGTTCATCATCAAGTTCTTCCAATATGGTCCAAATGGAAGGAAGTCAGCATGGAACATAATCACACAAGGATTCAAAAACTTGGAAGCACTTAGAACACTAAGGAAAGAGTAAACATCCATCGCATGTTTAGTAAACCAAACATAGTGAACAATTCTGGGAACTTTCTTCTGATCGTAACAGTGCTGTGTAACGTACTGTTTTAAACACGGGTCCTTAAATGTCAGCATGAAAGACGAAGTGTCTTCTGGCATATCGCCCAGCACTGACAGTGACTCATTGTTTTCGCATTTAATTTCAAACCGTTTGTTGTTGCTCACTGAAGGTTTCACGAGGACGTTTCCACAGTGCCTCCTATTGCGGGTAGTATTCGTACGTTCCATCAAGCAAGGGCTGCAGACATGTCTATTTAGCGCTGGCCTCGGCGTTGCACTAAGATCAAATCGTGAATCTGCAACAAAAAGTATCATAAAAGTATCATATTCCAAATACGTAGGAGAAGCTTGTTGGAAACGACTGATCGCATTTTCTGCAATGCATGTACACCGAATATGTTTTAAGCTATGTGTTAAAAGGTGTAAAGAATGAAATCCTTTCCCTATGATCAGTTCTTTAAAACGCTTAAATCCAGGTCTACTCCCGAAAATGCATTTAGGTGTTTCTCTCCGAACGAACACAATGTTTTCGCGCTATAATTAGTATTTTCCTTTAAACTTATCATTATGATTGAAAAGGAGTGACATTATACTATGTTAATTAAAACAGCCGTCCTTAGTATGTTTTTAAACAGTTAATAATTTATTCAATTAAGATTTCCTACGTGCAATACTTTCTTTTAAATCGTTCTTGAATTCCGAAAGCTGTTAATGCATTGTCAACAGAATTCAAATTTGATTTTCTCATTTTTCTTTTTCAATTAAATAGAAACGTTGCGAACTAAAACAAGCAGAAGATAACTGAATACATGTGGCGAGCACACGACATTTGCTTGTCGTGCAATTTAATGTTTTGCTCTTCTTCATTCCTGAGAATGAGCCTCTGTATTACCTTCGTACTGACAGGAAGCAAATACACTGTTGAAACATGGACTATTAAAATACAGCAACAACTCATTGGTATCTATCCTTAAGTAACTTAATATACTTTATGTGATCCCTCAAGAATATATAATATCCAGTATTATATTGCAGGTTAAACAACTACATAAATATTATATGTTCTATATTTAAATAGTTTGTTTTAGGTACGAGTACAATGTTTCAAAGTTATTGGGTTTTAAACAAACCCCGGTGTACATATATTTATTTTTGTGTGTTTTGTCCTCTCACTGCTAAGGCAAAAAGACTCCACTAAATCAGAAAAAGACCACATGTTCCTAAATTACAAAATAGCAAACTTGGGAATTGATGTAAACACGTCATAATAATATTGACATCACATAAATTATCATACTTTGGACACATTATGTCGGATAAGATTTACGTTAAAAAAGTATAACTTCTCAAAACTACTGCTTGTCCTAGTCAGACTGACAAGGTACCCATCTTAATAACTCAAATATATGACATTATTCATTTTTTGCACAAACACGTCACGGCAGTTAAGTTAAAACTAACCCTAGTTTTATCTATTTTCTCGATAACGCCTTTGTTGTTATAAATAGGCATTTGGTGAGAAAATATAGATGTCAGCAGGATTGCGCCTTAAAAGTTCCTCTCACATAAGATAACATACTGAACGTCTTCTTATAATTAAACTAAATGGAATGATGTTTCCCCACTCACGTTTTCACGTGCATGCCTGGTTCAGTCATATCTGTTAACGGAAATGCAGAATAATGTTAAATATACGACTTGGCAACTGATGTCTCTTCAAGTTTTATTTAGGCGAAGAATTAAGAGATTAACTTCAAGAGATAAAAAAACAAAAACAAGACTGATCCGAATGTATTAAGGCTTTTACACGCTTAATAAACTTTTTCACGATACAATTAGCGTGTTCTTTAAAATAATCATAATGCATCAAAAGAATTAAAGATATACGTTGTTATGTAAATTAAAACAAACGTCATCTGTTTGTTTTTAAATAATTACTTCAATAAAGATTTCCCATGTCAGATATTTTTTAATCGTTTACAACAACGTTGTAAACACATTTCAATTTTGATTTTCCTTTTTGTTACTTTCTCAATCCAATAGAAAAGTTGTGAAGATAAATGAATACGTGATGCGCGCACCCGACGTTTGCACTTCTTCCTTGATGAGTGTACAGACATAGGCTCTTGTAACCTGTATGCTGACATGAAGCAAATAAACGTTCAAACATGGACTTTTTATATACACCAACAAATCATTGATATCTATCCTAAAGACATTTTATATGCTTTATTTGGTTCCTCAAGAATATATCATAACCAGTATTATATTGCAGATGAACTACATAAACATATCTCTATTTTAGCTAAATATTTTGTTTTCAGTACGGGTAATTGAAGTTGTGCAATGTTTCAGAGTGTATATTTATATATATTTGTGTGTTTGTCCTCACATTGTTTGACTCCACTGAATCAGAAAAAAAGACTTTACGTTCCTAAACTAGAAAACATAGGAATTGATGCTTCAAATTTAAGTAAACTTCTCAGACAAAAATCAGTTCGTTTAAATGTCTCAATATATTGTATATTTAAGATATTTTAGAAGTAATGGTTGACGTTGGCCCCACTGACATAACATAACCATACTGCAAGTATGCACTTGGACGAAGTGACATATCAAATGATGTCACATAGAAGGCTAATATATGACTCTTAAACCTGAAGACATGTCCATTCCCCTCTGTGCAGAGATATATATGTTGCGGAGCCAAGAAAATGTAATACTGAATCCATGTCTCAAACATTAACCATTATCCTGAATACAATCAAGGAAGTACTTTCCTTATACTAGTATTCATAGTTGAGACAAAAGGAATTAATACCAAATGCATTTTCAAAAACACAAAGGGTTTGCTTGATTTTTGCAATCTCAGAAGAGCCACGTTCAATTATGTCAAAAGATTGTATTTTTCAACTTTGTACATCACTATCCCACACGACAAACTTAAGAGAAAACACCATTGCTTGATCCATGGGACATTTGTCTTTAAGCTGTAGATAAAGTTACATCTCTATCTTGAAAAGATTTAGAACAATATGTTGAAAATGAAAGCTAATATTATGTCATCTCAATTTTACGGAGAAACATGTGAAATTCCTCATTGATAACATCTGTGTTAACTTTAGGAATAGGACATTTAGTCAAGACGTAGGCATCCCCATGTGCAATACTTTGGGCCAAGAACTTTGAATTAAGCTTCAGGTAAATCGATTATTTGATACAGTTCAACAATGGTCAAATAGCAAATTCCTTCTACGGATTTAATCACCTGAGGTAGAAACAGAAGATAACAGTGAAATATCCTCATCTGTTTCAAATCTATATATGTGCATAACATTTCAGTATGACAAGAGGGATGACTTCAACATTCCAATTGCCAACGTCAGTTGTCAATATTTCAGCGTTTTCATCCTTTAGTGTCTACATTTCACACCGTTTGAGATGCAACCGACCAAGCTTCTATGAAGATTTCAAAGAGTGTCATTTGAATGTTCCTAAACAGCTGTTTGTGTAGGGTAACAACATCTCGTGCTTTAGCAATAACATCAAAAGTATTTTGGTAGACATGTGTAGGGCATTTCCAAATTTGTATCGTTGATAGGTCCATTTTCATCTTATAATTTAAAAGCTTTAAAGCTTTACTGAGGCTATGAATGTTGTAACCCTGAAAAGACTGGAGATAGTCTTTAGTTTCCTCAAAAGTTTAAGTCTTATTCTATACACAAAACTTTATTGTGTTTTAATTAGATAAATGTACATACATAAACAACAACTTGCAACCATTTTGACATAGATCTAGACTAAGCATCTTAACTATGCTGTACCCGATACCGCTTTGAAATGCACTGTCCGACTCAATACTTTAGCCATTAAACAGGGCACAAAGGGCATCCCGCATTGTCGGGGACCAACATCATTTCTTCACCGGGGTCGTGTTACTTTTTGTATCACACTTCTTCTCAAGACATTTATACGTTCATTATAAACTGCTCGTGACACTTCATTTATCCAGGAAATCATCTTCATCAACCCTGACACTTGTCGATAAAGAACGTAATATTACAAAGTGTAGCTTTTGCAAGAAGGAGCATTGTCTACGACACAACCTCTATTCAACTTAAAGAAAACACTTATAAAGGAGATGCCCTACATTCAAATAGTGAAGCAATGTCCTTAATACTTGGTCGATGTCGAGCTGTCACAGTCTAATTATGACAGTTATAGAGTAGTTTATTTCAAAGACGTAAGAGGGCAACGGTGTAATTGAACGTCCCTGGCATATATATTTAAATGTATGGCTGTCGAAATTCATCTGTAGAGTTTCCTATAGTATATTTTAAGAAAACACCAGTACTGATTGTATGTTTGTAATAAAGAATCCAAGACATTTCACTTCCCCCCGGGCTTAAAGTATTTATTTTTTCAAAATGAGAAACGTTCACTCATTCGTTAGAGGGGACATAAGCGAAATTCCGTACAACACTTTGTCCGCACACCGCTGTGTTGTTAATCCAAGATGCGACTCAGTCTTCAGGAATAGGTGATGTTACAATATGTCACCGCAGCGAACATCGGCCAACATTGTGTGGGATTGGATGGAGATAGGGACATTTCATCCATTCTATAATAAGATATTTACGGTCCCTCTATTATATAATATATGCAACTCAGCCAAGTATAACAACTATAATCCCACATAGAGAAAGTCGAATTTCACCCGTGTTAAATGTGCCAGAAAACAGCTCACACTATAATTATGTTACATAAAAGAGTTCATGTCTGACGATTAAGCAATGGGGATGCCGTGACGAGCGAAGTTTGACGTGTCAAAAAAGGCGGAATTAAAGGATTAATGTTGTCCGTCGTGTGTCAGATATCAAAGGATTTAAGGATTAGACCTTCTAGAAGGATGCCCCATTAGGCCGGACAACAGATGAGGGGGCGTAATAGTGAAGATAGAATCAAACGACTGCCTCAGTACAGTCTGAACAGTACGTTATTGTGACTATTTTCCTAAGTAATAATACATTCTCGTATTTTCTATTAAGGACACTGAGTTTTGTCTTTTTGGAGTTATGTTAATATGTTAACCTAGAATATAGGACTAATGTTGTGGGTTCAGTAAGGTTCCCTTGACAACTTTAGTACATGTGACATTTCATCGACACGTGCCGCGTGTTTAGTCCACCGTTCAAGGAATGCGTGTGTCTCAGAGAATACTCCATCATTGGTAAATATAAACGATTATAAAGAATATATTTGAGGCAAAAGATACAACACATTTTCAATATTTTTTATTATTTAGTGAGTTCACGATGTTTACTGCCTGATTTCATTTAATTTACTTTTTATTTACTATGATGCCATTTTACTATGAGTTCATTCTTGTGATTTTAAATATTTTTGCTTTGAAGTAACTATCTCCCTCTTTGCTTGCTATTGAAAACAAAACAACATCACATCACACCGATATAGATCACGCATTAAACGAGTTATCAAGGAAAAACAACGTTGGGTTTAACTATGAAACAAAAGGGACAAAGCCATTATTGCCCCATGGGCGCATTGTTTGCTACGGTTATTGGAATGATTCTGCTGTTATTTGTAAGTTTGATTAGGATAAAAACAGGGATATGTGATTTCGTACTATAAGTTATCATAATATCAGTGAAAATTATATTGCTATTCTCTTTTAACAATTAAACAAATTAAAAAATACAAAATTAATGGAGTTGCAAGTTACTCTCCTTCATTAGAATGCTTTACACTTACCTTGTCCTGCAACACGTGATAATTCTCGCACTTGTAAGACAGAAAGAGTAAAAACACATACAGCTAACCCAACAAGTGAGAAGAAGGTTGAGAGTATCCTGAACAAACAGTAGCAGAAAGGACGACACCGCAATCTACACGTCATCTCCAATAGTCTTAATGAATATTGTTCAACTGATCTTTGATGCCTCGCTTTTGCACATTAAAAGAATGTTTCAGTGACGTTCACAATAATAATTTGATATGGACAAATACATAAAGTCCTTTGAGTCCTCATTACAGCTGGGTTTCAGATATCATTTTTTACTGAACGCACTATGATGTTGTCTTTGAGAATCCACCTGTTTGATTGACTTCAGTAACGTGATGACTTACAACAAGAATAACGCTATTTCAGAAACGTCAAAGTGGATTTGTTGGCGAATCAACTATATATCGTCGATAGACCCTTGATGAATATATAAGCGAGGTGGCGAGTGTTACATTACAGGGTTGAGCCCGTGTATATTTCATACTGTTTGCTAAAGATGTGTTCAGATCCTCGCTGTAGAAAATTTCATGTGGCGTCAACCAATCAGCGTGAAGACGAAACACTCCTGGTCAATCGTCTGACAAACAGCTCGTGTTGGGCGTTATCAAAAGCCTTTAGATCCGTGTAACAAATCGATCACAGCCTTTATATGACGTCTGTCAGTGGGATTAATCACAAAGAATTAATTCATTAAGTATACTGATATTTATCCTTATTTGAAATGACATATTTATCAAAACAGAACCAATCTGAAGTAATTATCAGCATTGTCAATCAGAGCACGTATGCCGTCTTCACAATCCACTACTTCTGCTGAACAGGGGAGCTTCAATTTCTGTTACACCCAACTGTTAAGCACGGTTCTCTCGACAACAAGAGTAAGACACACGGCGTTATGTTGAAAGAATGTGAATCCTGTATCACGTCTGGGCGCAACACTCGTCAACAGCCTATCCTCAAACTGTCTCCGCTGAAACACTTGCGTTTATAGACATCGAAAGTCGCATCTCATTCCTTGAGCGCAGGTAACCGCGCTGCGTCCACTGTGCAATACTGTTACACGCCAACAAGCTTATCCAGACCTTCCAAGCACAGGTTCAATTTTTGAACTGGTCACCTGCCAATCACGAACCTATCCCGATTCCAATTAGGCGACACTGTGACCTTGATAGATTGTGAATTAATCAATTAGTCTTTATGTTATCTTGTCTAGGGCTAAGACGTCGACAATAACTTGTTAGCCAGACCGAATAATGGCCCGAGTAGGTCCTCACCCTTGCGCAGACCACTGGACCATTACGATTTCTTTCCTCTGTCACCAGGCTACTCCGATGAACACTGGCGTATGAGCCTATCCGTGGCATTTGCTTTATCAATCTCCACTTTTCACAATTCCAAAGCATGTGAACCTCCGGTGTATCCAACTTGGATATTGATGTTGTGTTCCTTTTGAAACAACACTGACGTTATATCTACTACCATCTATTTGTAGACTTAAGGGGGCTCAGACACTTTTAGATATAAAAGCAACACGCTGTCAAGCTAAATTACATTCGAATCAGTTTGCTCTTTACCTCCCGCAGGAAGACACGGAAATTATCAACGTGCGCAATGCTGTCCTAAAATAAACTTGACAAAACATAATTGTAGCTGGAAGTGGCAACGGCCCTTCAGGGTAAGCATACCTAAAACTAGTAGTCCTGATATATGTTGTAAAACGTCTGCGTATGTCGAGGTTACGTATTTGTCTCCAGGCGTTGTTTCTGACATTTATCATAGGAACAGCTATCAGTTAAAACGGATAATGGACGAAATCTCAGACACATAAATGTTAAAGATGCATGTTATTTATAGAGTATATCAACAAGGAATAATCCAAGATTGTCAGACTTATCGACTTCAAAGGACATGCGACGTAATTCAGATGTTAAATAAATAATCAGTTTGTTATCCTGATGTAGAAAATTGACATCGCCTTCAAATATAATTTTCTATTTCAGTCCTACAGCGGATTTTAGAATCTGTTAAGGCTGTTTTGACTCAAACTGGCCCTGCAGATTTATTTTTTTTATATACCTAATTTGGCTTCAATTATGGAATTACTTCAAAGGACGTTCGACACATACAAGATTAATATCTAATTCGTGTAATCATCTGTAGTTGGTGTGTCGTCGGTGGATGCGAGTGAGTGAATGTTGTTTTATGCCACAGTCTGCATTACTTCAGCTTTTATCAGGACAGTAAGTAAATATTTGAGTCGGGACAGGCGAAGCAATGATTAAAGTTACAATAACTATCAACACCCTTAGGGTACGATGACACGCAGACGCGGGTCACACGAACTATGACAAGTATGATGTCCATATCTCTCCTGAACAAAATGTACACATTTGTTCTAACATACCAATTTCGAGATAACTTGGATAACAGCAACACTGTTATAACATTTATTTATCAGTCATCTGTACCTCATGGCAATGAAGTTTATGTTTACAAAGGGTTTTGTTGTTGTTGTTTAACGCAATTGACACATTCCAGCCAAATGACGGGGGTCTGTTTGGACCAGACAATGTGACTGGCATCATGAGCATCTATCCATTCATTTGGGATACGATGACATGTATCAACCACCGATCATGACCACCTGATTCACTTGGCAGCAACATCTTACGACCAGTATAGGCTTCTGGGGAGCAACAGGTACAGTCGGCCCTGAAGGCTACTGAGGAGCAACATGTACAGTCGGCCCTGAAGGCAGCCGAGGAGCAACATGTACAGTCTGCCCTGAAGGCTACTGAGAAGCAACAGGTACAGTCTGCCCTGGAGGCTGCAGAGGAGCAGCATGTACAGTCTGCCCTGAAGGCTACTGAGGAGCAACAAGTACAGTCAGCCCTGGAGGCTACTGAAGAGCAACATGTACAGTCTGCCCTGGAGGCTACTGAGGAGCAACATGTACAGTCGGTCCTGAAGGCTGCTGAGGAGCAACATGTACAGTCTGCCCTGGAGGCTGCAGAGGAGCAACATGTACAGTCTGCCCTGGAGGCTACCGTATAGCAACATGTACAGTCTACCCTGAAGGCTTCTGGGGAGCAACATGTACAGTCTGCCCTGGAGGCTACTGAGGAGCAACATGTACAGTCGGCCCTGAAGGCTACCGAGGAGCAACATGTACAGTCTGCCCTGGAGGCTACTGAGGAGCAACATCTACAGTCTTCCCTTGAGGCTACTGAGGAGCAACATGTACAGTCGGCCCTGAAGGCTACTGAGGAGCAACATGTACAGTCTGCCATGGAGGCTACTGAGGAGCAACATCTACAGTCGGCCCTGAAGGCTACTGAGGAGGGACATGTACAGTCTCTCCTGGTGGCTACTGAGGAGCAACATCTACAGTCTTCCCTGGAGGCTACAGTAGAGCAACATGTACAGTCTGCCCTGGAGGCTACTGAGGAGCAACATCTACAGTCTTCCCTGGAGGCTACAGTAGAGCAACATGTACAGTCAGCCCTGGAGGCTGCTGAGGAGCAACATGTACAGTCTGCCCTGAAGGCTACTGAGGAGCAACATGTACAGTCAGCCCTGGAGGCTACTGAGGACCTACATATACAGTCTGCCCTGAAGGCTACTGTAGAGCAACATGTACAGTCTATCCTGGTGGCTACTGAGGAGCAACATCTACAGTCTTCCCTGGCGGCTACTGTAGAGCAACATGTACAGTCTGACCTGGAGGCTACTGAGGAGTAACATGTACAGTCTCCCCTGGTGGCTGCTGAGGAGCAACATGTACAGTCAGCCCTGAAGGCTACTGAGGACGTTCATATCGGTCTGCCCGGAAGGCTGCTGAGGAGCAACATGTAGATTCTGCCCGGAATCCCCAAAGGTCGTTTACGAAATACGTGTAGCAATAACAATCTACATCAATCACATTAAATTATGCTGCTGATGCGGCTTTAGATTCGGCATCATGTTTGACAGCTTATGTCGGAGAGACCAACATCATCAGCGTCAACAGATAATCATATCTGAATGTGGTTACAACCCCGCTGAATGTACCACTCCCGTGCCAATTATAATCACCTGCCACATTAGGTAACACAGAAATTGCAATTTGTAACTAGAAAAGGGTTAACCGCCGGTTTCTTTCAGTATCTACATCTCATTTTAAGTTTGTGAATGACGATCATAGTCCAGACTGATATTAATAATATTTTAATCAAAATGCTTAAATGGGAATTTAATGTTGGTATACAACCCGTAGTGTATGTTGGATCATATGTGAAATGAGATTAGGGTGCAAATAGTTAAAGAACATCTTGATGTCACCAACACACGATCCGCGGAATTAGGTTTAGATACAATACCTGCATGACAATGAACTACCCATGCAAATGTGTCACCATCCATGTGACATGCATTAATTTTGTGTAAAAGCGTCGTGTGGTATATCTGCATGACATATTGGGGGAGGCACTTTCATAGACATTAGCGTTCTACGACATATTACGACATATACATTATCGAAAAATAGTCCTCGTGGCTGTTTACCCACATCATACATTCATACAGTCACCGTTGTGATATATATAACATGTCAAAGATAATGAGTTTTGTAACTCGACTCAGTGTGAATCTATGTTGTGTTATTCTCCCCCTGGCACGAACCTCCACTTGAAGAAGACCTCTTTGTCCATCGGCAGCTTATTCTGATGTATAGTGTGAAATTTGATACACTTTAGAACAGAGTAAAGATATCTTAATATGTCAATTCGTATTTGTCAGAACATCGGGGTGGATGTGTAGAACAGTGTTGGTACTAGGCACGGTACAACCTGATACATGCAGATGAAAAAACGATATCTGTATGTTGAGGTTTTTCTTCTTTCGAATGAATTATCTCACGTGCGTGATTCCATATCATAGCTGTAAGGACACTAGACCCGAGTACCCGTGTCTCAAACCTCGACCCGGACTTGAGAACCCGATATTTCAACGGTAACATGCAGACATTTGATAGTTTGTCTGTTTTGGCGTATCCTCAGTCAGAAAGCGGCCAGACACTGTCAGTTTCTCTTCCATGTCTACATCCCGCGTGTTACAGAAGGGGAGATGGGAGTGATCTCCCCTGTTCATGTATATTGTTCTATCATGACGTCATTTCGGGATATTCGAACATGCGCTCGCACCTTGATGACGTCGTAAATTGGACGACGTTATTTTTACGAGGGAAGTGTCTAGTGAATTGTTCCACACAGATGTAGCTAGGCAACGTATATGAACGCAATGGCCGAACGATCGCATTCAAACGTGGGAGGGATATGACAATCGATATTAGGAGAAAAGATGTAGATAATCGGCGTGAAACTTGTGAGAATATCCGGGAAATACCTAACTTAACCCTCTTGTTCATAAAATAGCCCCATTCCTTGCCGAGGTCGGACTGTATTCCGGGGGTCATCATTATTCAAAATACGGGCAAATATTTTAAACACCCTTAAAGCGGCTGTACAAAATTTGATATCTTATATAAGAAATACATGCCTCATTGTCGTTGTTTATCGTACAGTAGAACGAACACTGCATGGGAAATAAATCACTTGGGGCTGTGCCCCTCATAGTTTATTGCAGTGTTTTATTGTACGATAAACAACTCCCACGCGTCATTTATTACTGAAATAACCGCATCCCGCTTCATACATAACACCATGTGCGGTTTCGGTTTTCACAAGGCAATCGTCGCTGGGTCCTGTATCATTCAATCTGCACATTGTCCGTATATCTCGTGTCTACAGATTTGCGACAGTATAAAATCGGGGCATGGTTGGCCCATCAGTGATGTACCGGCATCATACATTTCTTCTACTAATTGTGAATTGAAGTTTTCCTTTCTCATAATTCGGCTTTTTTCTAAATATATGTAATGTAAACTGTTTTTGGTCACTGAATATTGAGAGAAGTATTAACCAAACAACATAGAAAAATGTCATATTTTATCAGTACATCATCCATCAGTTTAAGTTCAACATTCATCATTGTAAGTATAATTTCACCAGTGTAAATATAACATCCATCAGTGTAAGTACAACATCCATCAGTGTAAGTACACCACTCATCAGTGTAAGTACAACATTCATCAGTGTAAGTACACCACTCATCAGTGTAAGTACAACATCCATCAGAACAAGTACACCACTCATCAGTGTAAGTACAACATTCATCAGTGTAAGTACAACATCCATCAGTGTTAGTACAACATCCATCAATGTAAGTACACCACTCATCAGTGTAAGTACAACATTCATCAGTGTAAGTACACCACTCATCAGTGTAAGTACAACATCCATCAGTGTAAGTACACCACTCATCAGTGTAAGTACAACATTCATCAGTGTAAGTACAACATTCATCAGTGTAAGTACACCATTCATCAGTGTTAGTACAACATCCATCAGTGTAAGTACAACATCCATCAGTGTTAGTACAACATCCATCAATGTAAGTACACCATTCATCAGTGTAAGTACAACATTCTTCACTGTAAGTACAACATTCTTCAGTGTAAGTAAAACATCAATCAGTGTAAGTACACCATTCATCAGTGTAAGTACACCACTCATCGAAGTAAGTACAATATTCTTCGGTGTAAGTACAACATCCACCAGTGTAAGTACACCACTCATCAGTGTAAGTACAACATCAATCAGTGTAGGCACAACATCCATCAGTGTAACTACACCATTCTTCAGTGTAACTACACCATTCATCAGTGTAAGTACACCATTCTTCAGTGTAAGTACAACATTCTTCGGTGTAAGTACAACATCCATCAGTGTAAGTACACCATTCATCAGTGTACGTACAACACTCATCAATGTAAGTACAATATTCTTCGGTGTAAGTACAACATCCACCAGTGTAAGTACAATTAAATCATTTGAAATGAATCAGAATGCAGTATAAGCTAAAACTTTTAATGAAACTATTTAACATACGCTGTGATGAAAGATATCCCTACGTACCAAACGCTTTACTTCAACATTCTTCTATATTTTTTAACTACAATCATCGATAATTAATTTGGGTGCAGTATGAATGGGCTTGACGAATTGGAAAATCATGTAAATGAAATGTCTCGAAGTAATACCCAAGGAAATTGCACAATTTAAAAACACCTGCCACAAATCCTTCAAATCTCAAAAAGAAACGATGACTAATTCATTAGATTCCTACAAAGGACGGTTGTCAGGTGATTGATGTATTTTCATAACAGAGGTCGTGGCTTTGCCATAGCCCTTCTTCTACAGGAGTGTATCAAATAACCATATCACCAAATACTTGCATAAATTTTAAGTATTAACTTCACCAAATATGTAGACAAAGTCTATAAACATTGATATTTTTGTAATGCAAATATCTATCTACGTGTATTATATTCATAATAAGTGACATATCTCTCGTCCCATCACATTTACAAACCATTGACCTTCATCTCCACGCAAGCATAACGTTCTTTACAAACATGTTGGATTAGTTTTACAACTAATTTTCTGCTTAACAGCTTAAAAACAGGTGAAGAGATTAAATTTATTTTAGGGAGGAGAGCCTTCAGCTTATAAGGCTACCTTCAACTTGTATGGTATGTACGATTGTGGTATGATAAGTTAAACACTCCTTGAATATTTACAACTTTACAGGTAAACATGTCACAAACTGTGTAATCATGATGTTCACGCAAACAAATGTAAAAAATAATAATAACACGGCTGGGATTTGGTTTCATTTGGATTATCATTACAACAAGTTACAGACCATGGCTTGTCACACCTTGTAAATATCAAGTTGTAAAGTGATTAATTCACATGCAAAACAACTCGACTTGAAATAGCAGAACTTTACAATACACTCTTCCTTTCAACCCTTGTGTAGGCTGACACATATCCGATTCTACAGCCCACCTTAAGCTCTTCCAGAAAAGGGATTTATTTCTATTTCGCCGTCGGGCTTTATAGTATCATTGATTTATGATTTTTTTATGATTTATGAAATTTATATACACTGTTCCTTGTATTTGGTGATGTTTATAAGTGGATATTTCTATTATTTTTTTCACGTTCATACAAAGAAGGGTATTGTTTTTAAATGTACATATCATGGTCTCCCATATTTCTACAAGAAAGACCTGGGTACAAATGTATACTTTTTAAGATGTTTATAATAATGCTGTACGTTAGGTGAGACTTCAGTAAACTATCTGCCTCAAATGTAGTGCTGTTAAATTACTGTCACGGGTAGATAGAAAGCCGTATAATTGGAAGGTATATAATCAGTGCTCCTACAGACCCGTATCATGACTGTGAGTTGGTCGTGTTTGATATTTGTTTGGAAAAGAAAAACATGTTCAGTCACCGCGCAATCCTTATTGAATCATATATTCTTATCTTTTCCATCATGCAGCGCGATGAGCAGCCACTTGGTCGATGGAATTTGGCGCTTTATTTATGGACGTATTATTATTATTTGGAAAAGGAAAAAAATATTGCAATCCCGAAAATGTGTTGTCCTCGGTTGTATATTCGTAGCAACTAATACATGTGTCAAGCGCGAACACTTGCCACCAGTGCAGGGGGGGTCATATGTACGTGTGTGCTTTCAACGATCATGTCTGTAAGAAATCATAATTTTGCGTACGCGTACAGCTGGCATGAATAGTTGTCATAATACCTTTAACCATCATTAAACTGGCATTG